CGGGCGTCCAAAGTAGATTGGGGCAGGGCCGATGCGAGGCGCGGCGGTGCCCCCTCGCGCGCCGCCCTGAGCAGCGCCAGGGCCGCCGCGGGGGCGGCCGCCCTGCCCCCCGTCGCGCGCTCTGCGTTTCAATGCAGAATGGGCCAAGGTAGCCGCGCGAGCGGCGGCCCTGCCCACGCGCGCAATCCTTTCTTCGGGCGGAGCCCGCGCCAGGGCGGCACTGCGCGCGGTGGCCCTGCCCCGCGCCCCGCGGCTCTCCAGCGGGGCCAGGCCAATGTTGCCGCGCGCGCGACGGCCCTCGCCGCCCCTCCCCCCCGCGCGCGGCATTGCATATGCAGAGTCGGTCAAGGCCGCCGCGCGCGCAGCGCCCCCCCCCCCCCCCCCCCTCCGGGGAGCGTTCGTCAGCAGAGACCCCGGCGCTTCGCGCAATGGCCGCCGCGGGCGCGCGGGCGCAGCAGCTTCCGCCGTCGCGCCCGGTTTTTCTTTCGCGGTCAGAATGACGAAGGGGCCGCCTCGCGCGTGGCCATGCGCGCGCGGGGGCGCCGCGCGCTCGGCGGCCCCGCGGCTTCGTGCATGGCGTTTGCGCTGTTAGTGTTCAACATGATATGATGCCGCAGCTGTCGCCGCGCGCCGCGTTCCTGCCCCCTCGCGCATGTCGCTGCTCACTTGCAGGGCGCCCCCCGCTCCGAGCCGCGCCCTGCCCCCTCGCGCGCTGTGGCCCCGCCCCTCGGTGCCAGTTTGTTCGCGCAGAGAGGGCCGGGGTCGCCGCGCGCGCTGCCCCGCGCATGGCGCGCCAGGGGCGGCCGCCGCGCCTGCTCGGACATGGCGCCCCCGTGACCGTGCCCATGCAGAGCGGGCCCGTTGACTCGGGCGCTGTGTTCTCCTGAGCCGAGGTGGCCAGGGTCGCTGCGCGCGCGGTGGCCTTGTGCCCGAGCGCGTGGCGTTCTTTGCAAGCAGATTGGGCCGGGGCCGACAAGCGCGCGGCAGCTCTGCCCCCTTGCCGCGCGTAGCGTTTTCTTCGCGCGCATCGACCAGAGCCGCCGCGCGCGCGACCGCCGCGCGCCCGCGACTTTTTTCAACGCAGCACGGACCAGGCCCGCCACGCGAGCGGCGGCCCCGCCCCCGCGCGCATTGGATTGCATTGCCGTGCAGATCTGGCAAGAGCCACCGCGAGCAGGGCGGCGCAGCTTTCTGCTTGTAAACCTAGAATTGGCTGGGGCTGTCGCGCGGGCGGCGGCTATGCCCGTTCGCGCGCTCGGGTGTTCCATTCGGGAAGGAGCAGGTCCGCCGGCCCCGCCGCGGCCTTGTCCGCCCCCTCGCGCATAGCGCTGACCCGTTCAGAATGTGCCAGGGCCGCCGCGCGAGCGGCCGCCTTGCCCGCTCTTCTCTCTCCCCCCCCGCTCTGCCCCATTGCGAGCTCCGGCGACGCTCCTGCGCGCGTGGTATCCTGTCGCGCGCGATTGGCCAGGGGCGCCGCGCGCGCGGCGGCCGCGCCCCCCCCCCCCCCCCACTTCTCTGCCGCATGGTTCCTCCATCCGTTCAAAATGAGCAGGGGGGCCGGGAGCGCGGCGGCCCTGCCCGTCGCGCGCTGTGTCAGCTCGCAGAACATGGCGAGGCCGATGTGGGCGCGGCGGCGGAGTCGCCGCGCGCGCGGCGTGCTCTCCTCCAGAAGTGGCCAGCGTCGTCGCGCGCCGCGGTCCTGCCACTGCGCGCGTTGTGTTCCCCGCGCAGACTGGGCCAGCGTTGCCGCGCGCACGCGGGCCGCCGCCGCGGCGACACCGCCCCCCGCGCATGGGGCGCGTCGGCCTCGCCCCTTCGCCACCTGGTTTGCATTGGTCGGAGTTGGCCAGGGCGCCGCGCGAGCGGCTCCCCTGGCCCCCCGCGCGCGATGCCGCATCCTGTTCGCATGGGCAAGGGCGGCCATGGCGGCGGCCCAGGCCCCGCGCGCGCGGCGTCGTTCCCTCCGCGATTCGCTTGGGCCGCCCCGCGCGCGGCGTTCCTTGCCCGCCGCGCGCTGTTTCTAGTCGCGCAGAGTTGGGCAGAGCCGCCGCGCGCGCGGCGGCCCTCCCCCCGCCCCCCGCCCCCGCTCCGCGCAGTTTTTTTTTTTTTGTTCTCCAGCGCGCGGTGGGCGGAGGCTTCCGAGCCCGCGGCTGCCTCGGCGCGTCGCGAATTCTATTTCGACGCGCCGAATCGGCCAAGGCCGTCGCGCGCGCGGCGCTCCGCCCCCTCGCGCATTGGTTCTCTCCCCCGCGCGGCCCCAGCCAGTGCCGCCGCGCGCGCGGAGGCCCGCCGGGTCCAGGGCCATTGCGGCGGCCGGCGGGCCCGCTTCGCAAGCGCGGGGCAAGGGGCCCAGGGGCCGCCGCTCGCACCCCGCCCCTCCCGCGCCCCGTCTCTGGACGTTGGTGCGCACATTCTCGTTGCCTTAAAGCATGTTGGTTTTGCTCTCCAGGTCTTCTCACCGTATTGTTCGGTGTTCTTTCTGGGCCCTTTGCAGGGCCTGCGCATTTCCCATTGGCTCCCCCGCGGAACTCTTGCTTGCTCTTTTTCGCCAACCGAATGTTCACTATGTCGATTTCGTTGACCCGGCCCCGGATCTGTATATTTCCTGCGCGGGCGTGGCGCAGAATCCCCGTCGCATTTATCAGTGCCCGCTGCAACAGTTCTTATTGCCTCGCCAAGGGGGCCGCTGCACGTCGACGCGGGAAGTGCTGTCAGAGCAGCTCCTGGCGTCGCGGCGGATTGCTTGCCGAGGCCAGCGCGCCGCGCAATTTGATTTGAAATCTGCTTTCAAATTGCCTCGCGCGGACAGCAGGGGCCCCTTGCTCGCGGGAAAAACGCAGACCCTCCCGCGGGACTTGCAAATTAGCCGGCTCAATGTCAGCCCGTCCAGTTTTGGCTTTGGCTTGGGCGGCTCGGTTGCAGGAGCCGCCGGTTCACGGCAACCAGTTCGGCTCATTCCTACAATTTTTCCCCAAACCAGAGGATGGGGTCCTTGTTATTCCCACATCCAAAGGATGGGGTCTTATTATATTTCCCGTATTCAAAGGATGGTGTTCTTGTTATTCCCCGTATTCAAAGGATGGGGTTCTTACGATTCCCCATGTCCACAGGATGGGTTTTTTGCTTTTTCCATATCCAAACATTGGGGTTCTGGTTCCCCATATCCAGTGGACGGGCTTCTTGTTATTCCCCATGTCCAACTGATGGGGTTATTGATATCAATGTGACCGCGCGAACCGTTCGTTCACCTCTTCACTTCTCTTTCCCCTGATAGCGCTTTCCGCGAGCATGATGACGACAATTCTGATATTGACGATGATGTTGGTGCTGATGTTGTTGGTCGTGATGCTGATGTTGTGGTATGTTTTACAGCGGTGGTGATGAGTATGAGGATGCTGATGGTGATGCGAATGATGATGGTGATGGCGATGATGGTGATGATATGTACGATGCTGGTGATGTTGTTCAGTATGATTATGGTGATGATGGTGACGGTGGTGATAGCGATGATGGTGACGATATGTATGATGCAGATGGTGTTGTTCAGTATGATTATGTTGATGATGCGGCTGGTGATGATATTGACTGTGATGATGATGCTGATGATGATGATGATGATGATGATGATGATGATGATGGTGCTGCTGATGATGATGGTGGTGGTGGCGGAGCAATACTGAGAATGCCTCGAGCGGTTGTCTGGTTTCAGCACTCCTACAAGGGAAGCCGCCAGAGGTATTGCACGGCCTCCGTTCGCACCAACATGGCGGGGATGTCCCTATCGGTTTGCCTGTTTTGGTGGCCCGACTCGTGGGCACATGCCATAGGAGGCTCCAGCAGGGTCCAGGACACCCCAGGAGGCCCCAGGAGGTCCCAGGAGGCATCACGAGGCCGCAGGAAGACCCAAGAGGCCACAAGATATCCCAAGAGGCTCCAGGAGGCCCCAGGAAGCTTCAAAGGGCCTTTGGAGGCTCTAGGAGGCCACAGGAAGCGCCAGGAGGCACCAGGAGGCCCTGGAAGGCAACAGTAGGCCACGAGAGGCCCCAGGAGCAGGAGGCATCACAAGGCCACAGGGGTGGTTCCAATTCCATGTGTTTTGCGTATGCTCCTGTAGATTGTGCCTCATTTGGAGCACGAATATTTGATGTTATACGTATGTCTCTATATATTGTCCTTCTCGTGTGTATCCAATCCTGAATGTTTTACGTCTGTTCCTATGGATTGGGCCTCCCCTGGGGCACGAGTTCTTGGTGCTTTACACGTGTTCCTATATAGTGCTTTTCTCCTGTGGTTTCAATCCGCAATGTGTTGTGAACGGTTGTTTCTATATGGTGGGCCTTTCCTGGGTCACGAATCCTCCCTGGGAGGTCCCAGGAAGCTCCAGGAGGCCACAGGAACACTCACGAAACCACAACATGCCCCAAGAGGCTCCAGGAGGCCCCAGGGAGCTTCAGAGGGCCTTAGGAGGCCCTAGGATGCTCCAGAAGGCCACAGGAGGCCACAGGAAGCGCCAGGAGGCACCAGGAGGCCCGGGAAGGCACCAGGAGGCCCCAAAAGGCCCCAGGAGCAGGAGGCCTCGGAAGGCCACAGGAGTGGTTCCAATCCCATGTGTTTTACGTGTGCTCCTATAGACTGTACCCGCTCCCCTGTCTGCCGTTTGGCTCAGGCACGCGCGCCCGATGTGACACGCAATCCTCGGCTGTCTGTCTGAAAGGAAAACGTGCGCCTCTTTACCCAGCGTCCCATGTTATCCAATGTTACTCTCCTCGTTCTTGATGCCAAGTGTATGTGAAGTGTGCTGTGTAACGTTACCATGCTGCATTCGCCTGGGCGAAACACTCTGCAAAAGAGTGAGTCCGACGCGTGGTCGCCTGCGAGCCGACATCTTGGCGCATCCTTCCGTTCCCCCCCTCGTTTCCTCCAACCTCTCCACGGTGGTCTTATAGGTGCGATCTCCGCGGTTCAACCTTCTGTCTGGTTCGCGTAACTCCCTGCAGCAGGCCTTCTTGGAACAGTCTGCTGACGATGCAGCACAGCTGGCCTCCTTCATCGACAAAGCGAACGCCGCCATGGACACGCTGTCTGCCGTGCGCGAAGGCCAGCAGGGGTAATGCGATTGGTGTCTTGGTTATTTCATGTCCCTCGGGCTTCCGATGTGTTTCGCCAGGCTGTGTTTATGGTTTTCGTGCATCAGTGCTACTTTGCCCGAGCAGTGCACCCAGGCGCATCGACGACGCCCACGGATACGGGGGGCAACCTGCAAATCCGGCTTCGGCATGGGGGTCGAGTGTTTTGTTGATGGGAAGGAGGATCCTGGGCACCAGCGCCACCCAGCGCACGGCCACGAGGCGGCCACAGGTGGGGACCGGCTTGAAGCCTGGAAAGCGACGCCAAGATACACGGCGGTAAGGGGCGGCAACAGTTCGGAAGCCCAGCCATCGTTCGAGGCGGCCACGAGGTGGCCACGGGAGGCGACCGAGCGCACGTTTGGAATATCCATCCGCACATTTAGATACATGGGAGTGTTTTGGTGCCAGCGTTGCTTGGCGAGTCGTGGGCCCGATCACGTGTGCGATAACATTTCGCACCCATGTCTTCCCACCTGTTGCGCCAAAGACTTCGAGAACTTAGGGGCAATGATTCGCAGGAGTACCTTCAACGCAAGGCATCGGTGGCCGATCGTCGGTGAAACCAGTTTTTGTGCAGGTGTTCAGGTGTTTTGAGATCACCGTCGGGGGGGAGAGCCCTTGAGGCCGTGTTAGGGCTGCGTCGGGGCTGTTGTCGAGCCATTCTTTGGCCTTGCTGGGGCCTTCTGTGGCCCCTCGGGCCATCATGGGACTTTTGGGGTTCGTCTTTGAGTGCGCACGTTTGCTGTCTGATACAGTGCCGCTGTGGGTCTCTCTTCGGCCGTTATCGATCCCTCTCGGGGCAGTTTCGGGCTGTCTTGAATTGGTCTTAAGCGCATATTGTGCATGCTCGGATTTCCCTTTCAAGATAAACGTCTGCAGGTTCTTCAAAGTCTGCTTGCTTATCGGAAGCCCTCCTGGGCTCCTGGGAGGCCTCTACAAGGCTTTTCGGGCGTCCCGGAGACCCCCTCGGTAATCTTTGCCTGTCTTGTCGGGATCTTGGGACCATCGTGGCCATGTTGAAGGAGTGAGCAAATTTTGCGACCGTCTCGGGCGGACTTGGGGGCGTCTTAGAGACCACGTCGATTCGAACAGCCATCCACGGCGACGATTGGAGCAGTACGGTCGCACAGGGCAAACGGGTTGTGGAGAGATGTTGGAAAGGATCGGATATGTGACTAAAGTCTAGTACACATTCAATCCCCCCCGTTGCTGACCACGACGGGGAAGGCGTATATGAAGAGCGTCCTCCCGTGCCGGCATCCCCCCATGAGTTGTCTGCGCGGTTGGGTTGCATGGTTAGTTGCGTGGCTGGTGGTCTGGCTTTCCAGTGCTCTTGAGTTTCTGGTGGGCTGGATCTGTCGACGAACTGTGGCTACACTCGCTGCAGAAGTGAAAGCATACCTCATGGTCGTATGGTTGTCGCTCTTCCCTAAGTGCGGATGCAACTCCTGCGAGGTGCAATTCTAGACGCTTCGCGTAACCCCACCAGCAGGATCAGTACTCCCTTCAGGAGTCTCGGTGTGCGACTTTGTTGGCGCCACCCTACGCACCAGCTTTCGGCCAGTATGGTCTCCTGGTAGCTGTTGCAGTGTACTAGTGGTGGTCTTCCTGGCCACATCCTGGTACCACCTCCGCGCCATTTTTGCTGCGCCCCAACCCTGGTTGGTTAATTCTGCATGTGCGCGCCCCTGGTCCTGGTACCTGGCAGCTGCAGCCCGCACCCCCCCTCTCGCTGGCCCGCCCGCTTAGGTGCTGCTTAGGTCGTCGGCCCGTCGGCGTTCGGCAATTCGGCTCTTGCGCGGCCCGCTCGGACCTTACTCGCCGGTGGCGCTCTCGCCTGCGGTCGCGACGCAAAAAGTAACCCCACCAGCCCGTCCAGAAACGATGCCCAGAGGAACTGCCTCGATCAGGGAAGTGGGCAGCACACAGAGGAAGGGTCCCCCAGTGGAGGCCTCTTGGAGCGTCTTGGGGGCCTCTTGGCGGTCCCGGGCGCCTCTTAGAGCGTCTGAAGTGCCTTGGAGAGTTTCTTGGGGCCTCTTGGTTTTTTTTTGAGCCTCTTGGAGGCCTCTGGGGCGCCTCCTGGGGCCTCCTGGGCGCCTCTCTGGGGCGCTTTTGAAACGTTTTTGGGAGCCTTGGGAACGCTCGCGAAAAAAAAAGAGAGAAAACCCAAAACATTGATCTCCCTCAGGTTTTGGAATGGTTTTGCCCTTTCGGGTCCTCCTTGGGGAGCTCTTTGGCCACTTGGAGCCGTATTGAAGCGGTTTTGGGGCCTCTTGGAGCATCGTGGGAGCCATCTTGAGGCATCTTTGGATATCTTGAGCCATCTTGGAGGTCATCTTGGGCTCTCCCAGGCGCTCTGGGAATCATCTGAAACAGTGCCCCCCAGGAGGCCCAAATGTGGCCAACACCTTAGTCAAGTCAATGATTTTGGCGTTCTCGCCGAGGTTTCTTCGCCCCCCCCCCCCGCACCCCCCCCCCTTCGGGCGGCCAAAATGGGGCCCTAACCATAGTAAAACAAATGATGTGGGCTTCCTCGCCGAGGCCGTTTTGGACGCTCCAGCGCGTCGCAGAACCCTCCCCGTCCAGGTCCAGGGGAAAGGGCCAGAGGGGAGGGGTCAAGACGCCCTCCCCGCCCGCAAGCCGTCTCGCTCACCCCCACCCACGCTCCCAACACATACGTAGCACCCGAGCCGGGCTCGAGCCGCAGCGTATTCAGCAGTCGTCTTTGGATGGGCAGTTACTGAAGCGAATCCGCCGCCTCCGCCCGCCGCCGCCCGCCGCCGCCGCCGCCGCGCCGCCGCGCGCCGCCGCTGCCGCCGCCGCCGCCGCTGTCCACCGCCGCCGCCACCGCCGCCCGCCGCCGCCGCGCCGCGCCTCCGCTGCCGAATCGCCGCCGCCGCCGCCTCTGTCGCCGCAGCCCGCTGCCGCCACCGCTGCCGCCGCCGTTGTCGCCACCGCCGCCGCAGCCGCCGCCGCCGCCCCCCGCCGTCGCCGCCGCCACCGCCGCCGCCATCGCCGCAGCCGCCGCAGCCGTTGCCTCCGCCGCAGCCGCCGCCGCCGCCAAGTGTACTACTCTGTGTTGTGGTTTTGACATGGATGGTGGGAGGAGGCCGCATCGGGTTTGCTGCGCATGCTCTGGATTTGGAGGCGAAGTGTGTTTTGTATTGTGTTTTACAAAGGGATGGTGGGGGGGCCCTCATCGACTCGGGTTGGCTCCCCGTCGCCTTGGGGCGGAGGATATATTTATAGGGAACAGTGATCAAAACCCTTCCCCCGCCCGCAAGCCGTCTCGTTCTTTCCCATTCGCCCCCCCAACACATACGTGGCACCCGAGTCTGGCCCGAGCCGCAGCATATTCAGCAGTCGTCTTTGGATGGGCAGCTTTGGGGGCCAATCCGCCGCTTCCGCCGCGGCCACCGCCGCCGCCGCCCCCGCTGTCAAATCGCCGCCGCCGCAGCCGCTGCCGCCGCAGCCGATGCCTCCATCGCCGCGGCCGCCCCCGCCGCCGCCGCCGCCGCCGCCGCCGCCCCCGCCCCCGCCGCCGCCGCCGCCGCCGCCGCCGCCGCCGCCGCAGCCGCAGCCGCCGCCGCCGCCGCCGCAAGTGTACTTGTAATGATGTTTGACAGGGATGGTGGGGGGAGGCCGCATCGGGTTTGCTGCGCGTTCTCTGAATTTGGAGGCATAGTGTGTTTCGTAGTGTTCTTTTACAAGGGATGGTGGGGGGTGTCCTCATGGTTTTTGGTTGGCTACCGGTCCCTGGGGGAGGGGGTGGTTATTCATAAGGAAGTGATAAACCCTCCCCCGAAGGGGAAATGGAAACTCCCCAAACCACCTGCGCCCAGAGGGCTGGTGGGATTATAATTTTGCCTCGGTCCGATACCCAATTTGATCCTGCATAACGTCGCTTAATGCAGCGTCATCCCGCTTCATCCGCGGCCGAACCTAAGCAGTTTTTCGGACAACTAGGTTTCTCCACGTTGCTTCCTACGCCAGGCCAGGGAGCCCAGGCCTCCGACGTCGGTGGCCCGTCGTGGCCCACCACCGTGGCCCCATCGTGGCCCCCAACGTGGCAACTCGTCCGCGTGACTGCGTTGGGCGGTTTAGGGCCTTCTGCCGCGGGGTCGCCGTTCCCTCAAAAGTCTGTCTCAAAGGGTTATTGCTGAGTCTGCTATAGGAGGAGCAGCAGATACCCATATCTCTACCCTTCGCCCGTTCTGCCGTTTTTGGGCCTCCCGGAAGGTCCTCGTTGCCACCGCTGGATTTGCCTCGGAGTTCTGGTCAGAACGCACCCCCACCCGGGCCCCCGAAGTCGGTTGCCCGTCGTGGCCTCCCAGCATCGTGGCCCCCGATTGTGGCCCCCCTATCGCGTGTCTCCGCGTGCCCGCCCATCGCCCCCCAGAGTGGCCCCCATCAATTTGTTTAGCGCTTTCTGATGGAAGGGTGTGATGTGTTTCCACGGTTGTGTGCCACGGTTTTCGCCAGGTTGTTCTTTGTAGTTTATCTCTGGCGTTTATATTTGGTTGCTGGCACTCTGACCGAGCCGGGCGAGCCCTTCCTGTGATGAGGTCGACCGTGCGCATTCGCAATTTAATGGTAATGGATGGTTGTCCCAAGTGAAGTTGCTTGTTGCCTTGCCTTTGTTTCGAGTGCGATCTCTTCTGTTGCAAGCAGAGACCAAGATCTACTGCGATGGTGTTGGGGAACATATCCGTGCCCCGCCTACGCGTACAACGCCCACAGCATCAAACATGTGGTGGTATTGCCAACGATTTAAAGTCTCATCTAGTCATTCCCCAAAAAATCGAGAATCGGCATGAGAAGAGAGTGAGAAGGAGGGGGTGGGGGGAAGGGATGAGGAGGAGGAGGAGGAGTCTTATCAAGGCTGTGGACGTTGATTTGCCTTGATTCGTGCCTCTGGAGACCTCCAGGAACGTGTATAATCCCCTTTCAGCCACAACTGCCACCACTTCCCTCTCCGTCCTTGCGCTCCTTTCCGCCTCTCTCTCCTCAATTCGGCTGCCGCAGCCGATCCCAGTTTTGTTCTTCCCAGCTGTTTCGCCCTCGCCGCGCCTCATATGCCCGCGCTAATTTGGTCCGCCCTCGCAACGCGAGCTGGGTGGCAGGCGACGAGCTGAACAACGACAACCCATCCTCTCTCACTAGGACACACACCATCGACTGAGAGCCTTTCCAGTCGATGGCCTTCGAGCAACAGGCTCGAGGTCTGCCGGCCTTCCCTTTCATATGTGCTTCGTGTTTCATCGGTTCGAATTGGTTTCTTGCAAGCAGCGTGCTGTTTAGCGCCTTGGCAGCTTTCCGCGCCAATTCGGTTTCAATCTCAGCCCCGCCGCCGTGCGCCTTCCTCGGTACACCGGCGCCTTTGGCGCCTGGAGGCGCCGGGAAAGCCAGCTGAATGAGCTGATTCGCGAATCCCCCTCCCTTACTTCCTCCTCCTCCTCTTCCTTTCCTCCTCCTCCCATTCCTCCTCCTCCCGCCTCGTCCTCCTCCTCCTCCTCCTCCTCCTGTCTTCGGCCAGCCATCCTCCGTTTTAAGTTGTGCGACTTAGGCAGCCGCCGCTGGCCGTTTCCTTCAAGCCTCGCGTGTGCCTACCGGCGGCAGGGTTCGCGGGACGCGCCAGGATCAGCGCTGGAGGCGCTAGCAGCGGCGCGGGGAGGGGGAGATGCTTCGCCGACCAGAGAAATCCGCACGGACCTTCGACAGTTTGCGTATTTGTGGCGTTTTCTATCCGAGGAAGGCCCTCAGAGGTTAGAGACTATCTTGTCATACTCTGGGGATAATACGGGCGCTACACGATTCGCGCCAGCGACGTCTGAGAATAACAATGGTTCATGCCTAGACGGCGCCGGCGCGAATCTTGACGTGACGAGGGGGTGAAGGGGGGCGGGGCCTGTAACGGGCGTTCGCGCAAATAACAAATGGGCCGTGCCGAGATGCCCCGATGAGGGGAGCCACGGGACGAGCGGGGGAAACGGAGAGGAGTGGTGTGGTGGCACAGAGGGGGATCGAGGAAGCGACGGGCATCAGCGGGTGATTCAGGCCCGTCGCATTTGCGTGGGTTTGGAGGGAGTTGGCGGAGGAAGGGAAAGAGACACGCGGGAAGGCAGGGATAGGAGGGATGATTTGAGGAATGGAAGGGCATATCCCTTTTTCATCTCTCTCTCTCTCTCTTTCTTCCCCTTCTCTCTCTCTTTCTCTCTCCCTTTTTTTGTTTTCTGTATCACTTTTTTTTTTTTTCTCTCTCTCTCTCTCTCCCTCTCTCGCTCTCTTTCTCTCTCTCTCTCTCTCTCCTCTCTCTCTCTCTTCTGATAATAAGCACATGTATACAAATATATCCATGGAGACACAAGTGTGGATCTGAGGGAATTGGGGGAAGGGTGTTGGAATCGCCGAGGGGGCACAATCGGCTCTCCTCTAGAGGAGGGGCGTCCGGGCGCCAACTTCCTGCAGTTCAAGAAAGCATAATCGTCGATTATGTATATTCGCATTGCGACGTCAGTGGTGTTGGCGTTTTTCTCGTTACCACCTTGTGGTGATTCCGGATCGGTGAGGACATCAAACACCTCGGATTCGCCAGTTGCTTGGAGATGCAAGTAGGCGCTTAAACGTTGGCGGTAGAACCGCGACCGCATCGACCACCACATGTTTCAGTTGTGGTCGCCCCCTACATCGGCGCCCTCGTCGTCATCCCGTCGCCCTCCGCTTCGCTTAATATTTCAGTCTTTTGGCTTAAAAGCATCAGCGAAGATTCAGTCGGTTGCCTTCCTGGAATGCCGTATCCTGTGCTGTCTGAAATGATTGTTCGCAGCGCCTAGTTGATGGTCGACACCGGTGGTTGGTGCACGTTATGCTTGTCACAAGTTTACAGAGACCGATGCTATCTTGCCCGCGTCGAGCAAGCCGGCGCGGCGCGGGCATTGTCGGGCGTTGTCTGTTGCGCGCTTGGGTCGGGAAGACGCGCCGGGGCAACGCGCCCCTATCGGCGGCCAGGCGCGAGGGGGTGCAGGGCGGTTCCTTTCGCGCGATACGTCGAGCGGGTACAGTTGCACGCTCTCGCCTGCGACAAACGGTGTAAGCCCAGCTTTTCTTACGCATTTCATGCGCTGTTAAGTCTTTGGCCTTATCGACGTGGGCCATGGCTCTCTGCGCGAGTTCGTTGAGCATTGCCGAGAGATGCCACGTGTGACACGTTCACCGTGTCGGCATCATGTAGCATTCTTTGACAACGGCGCGATGGACTAACAATCCATGTTTCCGACGTCGGCATCGATTAGGATTGTGGCGATGGCGCAGGTGGTGTCAGCGATTGCGTTGATGGCGGTGGTGGTCACGCGAGGAGGAGGAGGATGAGATGGAGGAGGCAGAGACTGCGTTCAACCGCGTGGTATCTTCCAGCGTTTTCGTTGCGTCGGGGCCGTCGCGCGCTCCAGCTGGGCAGTCTTGGGGTATATTTGGGGCGCTCCGGTCCCGACGTGGGTGGACCTCTACCTTTCGGGTCGTCATTGGGTTCCTCTGGGGATATGTTGTAGCATCTCTGCCATGGGATCTCTTGAAGCCATCGTGGAGACTTCCCGCGCCGTTCAGGGAGCGTTCCAGGCCGTCCTGATTTCCTCTGATTGCATGTTGGGCAGGTTTCGTTTCCATATTTGGTTGCGCTGGGGTGTTATTTGGCATTATTGCGGCCGTTGGTTCGTGCATTTTCAGGCGACCGCAAACCCTGTCGGACCGCCGCGGGGGCATTTCGAAAGTTACTTCGTTTTTGTTTGGTTTGTTTGTTTCTCTTCTGCGTGGTCTCTACTTCGACGTCTCTGCCTGTTTTAATGAGTGCGACTGGGGCGACGTCAACCACTGCGGCTACTTGTATTATTCCCCATATCCTAAGATGGGGTTCTTGTTATTACTTGGACGCCTCCTACTCCTCCTCCTTCCTCCTCCTCTTTTCTCCTCCCCTCCTGTCGGACATACTCAGACTTGCTCATACACAGACTTACTCATACTCAGACTTACTCATACTCAGACCTACTCATACTCAGACTTACTCACACTCAGACATACTCATATACAGACTTACTCATACACAGACTTACTCATACACAGTATTAGTCATACCCAGACGTACACATACACAGACTTACTCATACACAGACTTACTCATACTCAGCACCCCTAAGGGGAGCCGCCAGGGGTGGTTGCACGGGCTCGTTCGCGGCCATTTTGTGGGGATGTCTCAGGCGGTTTGCCTGTTTCTGTGCCCAACATCCTTCGCTTTCGGAGCAGATTTGGAGGATGTCTCGAGCGAGGCGCTCATTTCAGCACCCCTAAGGGGAGCCGCCAGGGGTGGTTGCACGGGCTCGTTCGCGGCCATTTTGTGGGGATGTCTCAGGCGGTTTGCCTGTTTCTGTGCCCAACATCCTTCGCTTCGGAGCAGATTTGGAGGATGTCTCGAGCGAGGCGCTCATTTCAGCACCCCTAAGGGGAGCCGCCAGGGGTGGTTGCACGGGCTCGTTCGCGGCCATTTTGTGGGGATGTCTCAGGCGGTTTGCCTGTTTCTGGGCCCAACATCCTTCGCTTTCGGAGCAGATTTGGAGGATGTCTCGAGCGAGGCGCTCATTTTCACCCCCCAGGTGGGCCAGATTTTGAGGATGTCTCGATCGGTTTGCTTGTTTTGGTGGCCAGGCTCGTGGGCGCAGATTCTTCTCAGGATGCCACAGGAGGCTCCAACAGGCTCCAGGAGGCCCAGGAGACCACATGAGGTCCCAGGAGGCATCAGGAGGCCACAGAAAGACTCAAGAGGCCACAGGATGTCCCAAGAGGCTCCAGGAGGCCCCAGGAAGCTCCAGAAGGCCTCAGGAAACCACAGGAGGCCCCAGGAGGCAACAGGAAGCGCCAGGAGGCCTCGGAAGGCAACAGGAGGCCCCGAGAGGCCCCATGAGCAGGAGGCCTCAGAAGGCAACAGGAGTGGCTCCAATCCCATGTGTTTTACGTATGCTCCTATCGATTGGGCCTCACCTGGAGCACGATTCTTTGATGTTCTACGTATGTTTCTATAGATGGTCCTTCTCCTGTGTACACAATCCTAAATGTTTTACTCATGTTCCTATGTATTGGGCCTCTCCTGGGGCACGAGTCCTTGGTGTTTTACGCGTGTTCCTATAGATTGCCCTTCTCCTGTGGCTCTAATCCGCAATGTTTTATGTACGTCTGTTGCTATAGATTGCGCCTCTCCTGGGGCACGAAACCTTCCTAGGAGGTCCCAGGAGGTCCCAAGAGGCTCCTGGAGACCCCAGGAAGCCCCAGTAGGTTTCAGGAGGCCCCAGGAGGCCCCAGGCTCATGCACAGAGACGCGCTCGTACTACTGAGGCTCATTCACACTCCAATTCATTCGCAGTTAGATTGATGTCCAGACCGTCACAACTGAAGCCCGTTAATATTCGAAAGCTCTTGCGCCTAGACATTCACGGCGGACAGGTCCATGCGAGTAGATGCACATATGGGGAGCTCCACGCAGTGAATAATTTATATTACTGTTGTCCGGTTCTTCAATTTTGCTGGTACGACGACAGCTACTTCTATGACGAGTACTATCACTACTACCACCACTACTACTACTACTACTACTACTACTACTACTACTACTACTACTACTAGTATTACTACTATCACTACTTTTACCACTACTACTACTACTACTACTACTACTACTACTACTACTACTACTACTACTACCACTACTACTACTACTACTACTACTACTACTACTACTACTACTAACTACTACGACTACTAACACTACTCTACTACACTATTATGGCTACTACGCACCAACTACTACTACTACTACTACTTACTACTACTACTACTATACTACCCACACCACTACTAATCTGCTACTAGTACTACTACTACTACTACTACTATTATACTAACTACGCTACTACTACTCCTACTACTACTAGTAGTACTACTATTATCTATACTACTACTACTACGAACTACTACTACCACTACTACTACTACTACTATTACTACTACCACCACTACTACTACTACTACTAACTACTACGACTACTACTACTACTACTACTACTACTTCTACTACTAACTACCAACTACGACTACTACTACTACTACTACTACTACTACTAAACGCTAACTACTAACTAC